GTATCTGTGGGATTAAAGGAACTACCGAACTGGTCGTATGGACTATCTGATAGAAGATGAGGCCATTAATTGCTATATAGCGCATCACTTTATAGCAAACATTATGCAGACTTACTCAATGTAACACACTATTAAGGCTGCTATTAGCTAAACTACGATAACAAAAGGCGAAACACCGTATTTTACCCTTGCCGACCTTAACCATTCTATGCATGCCTCTAATGTTCCAGTAACCGAAGCCAGGATCTAATTTGCGATCTCATCTATTCCGAGTAGTTTCTCTTATATGGCGCTTCAATCGATTCTGCATGCTCCGTGACCCATCATACGTTACCTGTTGGCAGCTCAGCCCCTGGGACCACACGGTGCTTTACGCCTTTCATAAATTTGTCCTTGAGAAAGAAGGGAGTGTTTGTCGCAAGTCCGACTCAGAGAGCGGTACCGTTTACTTTAACAGTTCAGGTTTTCTTGCAAGAGTTACATTATGCTGCGCCTAACTTAGAAGGTTGCGTTCTGTCTTTAGCCCCAGGGTGTGGCTCAAATGCAAACTTCATGATCTTGGTTCAACGAAGCTGAATGCTCTACTTGGCATGCACTGAAAGCGAAAGTCTGGTAAGCAAATTCAACATTCAACTTATAAAGACGTAACGCACGTATTTTACATCACGTGAATTTTCCGTGATCTTAGTTATACGCTACTAAGGCATAGCCCGGTTCAAGATGCTGTTCGTTCGGTCAAAACAGGTCAAACTGAATACAGGGTTTCTGTGTACGAAGAAAGGTCATTTGCCGCTGTGGCATTTGAGCTCGCCCTACATGCTTTCATTTAACAGTAGAAACTCGGGTTATCGCTTTTTTCTTGAGGTAAGATTCCTTCCTCCGTGACTCGTCAATATTGCAAATGATGGCATTTCTTTTTCAAAGCCTACGGCGAATGCCACCATAAGGTAAAAATGGCTCGATCCTATCCTATGCTGCCCCAGCCATATCTTATAGCAACAACCGCGCTGGTTGAATAGCATATCACTGCCATCATCTGCGTCACCGATATAATGTCAGGTTTGATAAAGAGTGCTGCCCAAACGGATGTAAAGCTTTAAAAATAGAAAAAAAAAAGCGTATTTAAAAGTTACTCAAGAATTTTGCTAAGGAAACTACGAGAGGAATCTTTCAACAGAGCTTATTGTAAAATTAAACAATTTGAGTATAAACACCAAAATACCTATTGAATTATGTTTTTAGTTGTAAAATAATATCCTACCTTAGAAAAAAATTCAATAATTACCATGACAATGCACAGTGTGTAGATGATGGCTACACGCAAACGCAGCCTATCTTGTCAGCAGAGATTTTGTCCCTGTCGAACTATTCTGGTTTTAGGAAAACGCAGGAGACGTATTCAAAGCCTTTTTTCAGTCAGATAAGTAGAACTGGACAAAAAAGAAGGTATAATATGCAATAAATACTCACATACTTTCATTTTTAACGTGAAAATATCAGCCTTGAATCAAATATATGTCATATTATGAGAACCCGTTCTTGAAATCGAATATATCTAGCCTAGTTCGTTAGATAATGAAGTCATTTCTATATATAAAATTCTTTACCAAATATATTTTTTAGAACATTAAATGAAGAAAAAAATTAGAGGAAATAATAATTAGATGTCTTACATTGACAAATCTATTTTTATCAAAAGATCATCACTAATATATATCCGTGAATCAGTTAACCAATATCATGAAGAGGCCACTCGTTGAATCTATTGATTAGGTGGATTATGCTACCCATGGGGGACCTCAATAGCCACTATGTTAAAGAATTTTCTAAAGCTGAGGGGGGATTCTCTTCCCTAATAGGTTGTTATGCGTTGCAGGACTTCAGTACGATCTATTCAAAGAATAAATGTGGCATTATTTATCACACGATCGAAGGAGTTACAAATGTTACTGATTGTAAATGCTAGTATTTTATTACACAAAAGTTTTAAACCCACGTATAGTTGAATTCAGATTTTCTATTCAGTGATGTCGCGACGAATAGCCATTTATCTATTTCTCAGCCACAAAGGTCACCCGTGAGGTTCCACAGCGCCGCCTATTGTACTTAAATAGTTCCAATTACCTTTACTGCTCGACTTTTTGTAAGAACTAGAAGCTTCACACGCGTCGCATAACTGAAATTGAGCGTCCGGCAGTTTCGTTTCCTCATGTACTGTTTTCGTTTATGAGAGACCGATATTTTTTTTTGAAAAACGATCAAGACTCTTGCATGCGACCGTGCATGCATTCGATAAAGCGCTACATAAAATCGTGTGAAACTTGTGCAGTTTTTAAGTGAGTAAGCACTATTGATAAGTGGCCAGCTTTGAGCACCATATGTGAATTCATTACCGCAAGCTACAGTTAATATTGACAAGGGTCTCGAGAAAATTGTTTCCGAATTAAACAATGATAGCTCGGTGAAAAAGGACAACAAAGAAACGGTTGCGTTGTATCTCAAGCGAGAGAACACAGAAAAAAACTGGGAATGCACAAATTTCCTAAATAGCAATATGGCTTGACGTCGTCCTAAAACCAGGTATCATTGACTCGAGCTTTGCCAAAACAATCCCTATTTTTTTTTTACCTAAAAAATTGCGCAAACAATTAGCGGCAGGTTGGCGAAAGGTGTTTTTTTTTTGTTTAGAGTGAAAGTGCGTCGGCGGATAGCTGTTGGCTGACATAACTAAAGACGCCATTTATTAAACAGTCTTAAGGGTTGATTTGGTGTAAACGATCTGCTATATCTTATTCGTATTTTAACCCTGCCACTTACAATGAGCAAACATGTTTTCGAGGTTCTGCTTTGTATTGCAAGGGTGATGTATGGGTGTACCAACTGTGCGTGTCTGTGCGTCACGCATGTGGGGGATGGAGACCTCCGGAAAACAGAGTTGAGACCGTTTCTGCTGTCACCTACGACGTTCTCCATTTCGTTTGAACGCGCGGCATGAGAAAGAGGAGTAACGGGTATTGAGGCGGCGAGGCGACCGATGTAAGCGCGATCTCACCCCGACAACTAGGGAGTCAATTTTCACGCTCGGGCAGGGGCGATTGTTTAAGGAATAGTGCAGCATTACAGCGCCTGTAGATACAATATGATGGCTAGCAGCTTTTCGTCACTCAAGATGCTTTTTACTTGTCGCTGTGCGAGTTCGAGTTACAATTGACAACTATAATAAAACATATCAAATATCTAAAATATGTTTTTAGATAATAATAATATATATTCGACACGATAATATGTTATTGTATTTCGCTTATTGGCCACCTGTGTTAGTACAGTTCAATCGGTTGTTGTGCGTACCTGAGTTTTTTGTACCCAATATTTGTCCTGTGCAGGTATATTGCTGACCTGTGCATGAAACTTCTAAACACCTACTTTTATACTAACATAGCCGCTCTAGAGAATTCGTTGTCAAATTTCCCTATTTCCTTGCATTTTTTGCTGCGCCCTCCTCCTAGAAGATATGGCACCGCAAACCCTTGATGGCATTTCTTAAGAATAAAATTATCGTCAGGTGTCAGCAGTGCTCTGGCCAATTTTACTTAGTCTTTAAGGAAGGTTTTTAGTTCTTTTAAAAGAGAAATACCATTCACCACTGAATACAACCGGTCAGTGTAAGGATAGTACGCTTCCTGACAAGGCTCGCCTACTTTTTTCTCCCTTTAAGATTTAGGCTTACGCAGACCGCGTGCCTTAAGATACGAGGCCACTTTCCTCGTCGGTGAGTTCCACAGGGAAGGACTCTTATCGTGCCGAACACTAACGACTAACGGACTATAATTACTGCTGCTTATCTTAGAATTGTACGTCGCATCGACGATCGTAAGTAATGGATCTTGATTAAAATATTACGAACGTATGATAGGATCGTTAAGCGATTCCGTTTTAAAGGCTTAGACAGTGATCATTACATAGAGGGATCATTGTCGAATAAAAGCAATCACTAACTTTACGTTGGGTGGCAGCATTTTACAAATGTATCGGTTAATCGAAGTTCATAAGGATTGCCTTGTAAATATCAGAACGTATGTGCGATAGGAAACCTTTTTTACAATAAAAGTGGAAAACATCTGATAGTGATTGAAAATTGAAGTGACGCCAGTAATTTATATTCTTGTATTAAGGACACATGTTCTATAGTCGAACAGTGGGTCGCTACCTTTTATTGGCGAAATACAAGCCAATCTCGCAATGTTTACCCGAAACGTGTTTTTGAAAGTTTTGATATTGTTTCACTTTTCCGTTTTCTTTAAATTTTCGATAAATCCTTTGAGTTACGTGTTCAGCTTCTGGTCCAATTGTTCTGATCAATCCTGCTTGGTGCAAGATATATGTTGGATACAAGGTCAGTATCTATACGGGATCTAATTGGTGACTGGATGCCACTTCTCGGCAGTAGCCGGGTATGTCAATCGACTAACAGAAACGTCATTGGAAAACGAGCGACACTGAAAGAGAGAAGCGAAAAAAAGTGATTATGGGCAGCGCAAACGTTAGATATTGAGGTCCCAACTTAGATCGCAGCTTTTTCAAAAAAGCGGCCTGTGATAGCACAACAAAGGTTTTCGATTCACAGCCCTTCATGTGTGGCTGTTACAATGCATAGTGATAGGCACCACCGCCTGCTGATGGAGAGCAGTGGCTATTACGTCTAAATGCTCATTAAAAGCGGATAGAACTTTATTCGTGTATAGTTGTTTCGAACTTCATTACGTTGAAGTTCATGTGCATGCTTGCTACTGAAAACCTGTGGTACGAGGCTAACTACTTGGTGTCTATACTATAATTCGACATCTGTAACTCGATGTATTGCGGAAACAAAAGTATTGAACATTGGACTAAGTGTATTGACCGGACACAAATCCAATACCGGTACTATCGTTGAGCAGTGCTAAAGAGAGTAAGCCTATAATTGTCAAACAGTCTAGTATATTCAGAGTTTATAGTCAAAATAATATATTTATTTAAAGTGAATTGTTTTAATTACGGAATTTTAATTACGGACTCATATGGAAGGCTCAAAAAAAACTTTATACGTCCGCCGAGAAGCTTATTAACAACAAACTTATAACTAGCGGTCAATTTAACTGCTTGCGCTTGAAAATTCAGGAATCAAAAATGAACAACATATTTTAAAAATCAATCATCAATGGCGAAGCGCGATTGCAATTAAGTGTATGCAACTCGTATGGCCGTCAGTATCTACTGCTCGGGTAAACAAGCTTGCTTTATTCATATTTAATATAGTTTTCAGCCTACTACGATCAAATGTTTTTTTTTTTTTAATATAATAGAGTCAGCCATCACTCAGGGGCAAACGACTGAGATGAGGAATCGTATCAATTAGATAATTAAAGTGATCCGTAGCTTTCGTCTCAATGGAATTTCTCCGTTTACTGGATTAATCCGACTGGTTGATGTCAGACTTAGTCTTACGTAAACTATACGCTAAACACGATCGGTAATCTCGTTCTTTCATTGTAATGCTCCAACACTTAACTTCGTCGGTATCTTCTGATATTATCGAATCTGATTTGTTATACTCGATCTAACCCAAACTACAGGTGAATTGCGGCCTGCACCTTTTTATTACGGTTATCTCATTACCCCGTTGCCTAAAATGCTTACGTCCACCCTAACTTATAGGTCCGTAACAGTTACGTTGTTGCGTTGTCGCAGTGATCCCGTATTCCTTTTAGAACAGCTTAATAAAGTCATGGCTTTATTGCAATAAACTTATCTTCCTGTCTCAACATGTTCCCTCTCTGCGTGTATCGGTCCCCTTTCGGTATCGGAGTATATAACACCCGTTAAAATAATAAGTCGTTTTGATTTGAAATTCTTGAATCTAAGATAGAGAAACATTTACTTCCACCTTGGGTTCATCCAGTTTTGTTTTTGACAACTGCTTAAATACCTTTCTTACCAATCTTCTGAGCCGTTCTTGGGATTATAGCAGCCAAACAGGCGTGCAGCTGAGCTAGAGTTCGGGTTGGATTTTACCTGAGTGTCGGCTGCGAAGTCGAAGGTTAGCTCAGTATAAGTGGTGTGTCCCTGTTTAGCTATGCATCGAAAACAAACTCGTTTATTTTTTCGGGTAGCAGAACACATGTCTCATAATAACGGATTGACGGAGACCGGAGCGCTAACTAACTGAGACAATTGTAAAAGATGTAATAGCAAAATAACAAGGGTACTGAAACATATGAGTACGATAGCGAGATTAGTTCCGTTGGCTTTCGCCAGCGGCAACCAATTATTGTAAGAGCACGATAGTAAAACTCCGTCAAACCAATCGAATATCTGTGATAAGTAGTACCGTAAAGACATAGCCACTACGAAGGTTGTGCGACATGGTCATAAGAAAATTGCAACAGATTTACTGAAACGGTCTACGTTTGCAATCGACCTAAAGTTCGAGTTAGTTCTAATGCGACAATCAACAACACTTGTCGTATCAAAACAAGTTTAATGCGATCACTGCATCACGTCAACGATACTGTCGGAACGTTCAAGCGGGGGAATTGCAACAGTAATGAGATAGACGTAACCGTAACGGAATAACTGTGTAATAATAGGTTGGGTACGATGTCAAGGGATCAGTTTAATTGGGCATACAGAGACACACATCTCCCTAGCAGTTGGGAATGCAGACAACAACAGGGAAAAAGGATCAAGTTGAGTATATGAGGAAAACGAAACAGATCCAGCGGTTATATAAGGTGGTGTCTAGGCAGAAGGCCAAATTAACAAGGACGCCTAGCAGAATTTAACTTGGGAATGTCGACTGATGTAATGCCGGCGGACACGCCTGTTACCGCTCAAGTTTCGGAGCCTAAGATTTAGAGAATAGTCTTGTAGCGAGGTGAGTCTCTTGCTGCGGATGATTCATATGCATTCGTTTAGGATTAAAAGAAAAACAATTATGTAGAGCAGTTCGCGGGTCAGCTTGGTAGTTCAATAAGAGCTTAGTCAATAGGAGTCTAGTTGAGGCCAATCAGGCCTCGAATACTGACAGATTTCAACTTGTAATTTTGTTCAACACTAATTTTTACCGCAATGTTTTACGATGAGAGCAATGTAAAAAGGGGAAGTTGAATAATATAATTCACTTAGAGTGAAGTGCATCTTGATAAGGTGTGAGCTATAGGCTATATAATTTTGATAGATTTAGATTTGTAGAAAGACTTCAGAGCTGCGTTAGTTCCAATCGCACTCAACAGACGTTTACCGAGTAAACAATAGCAAATCTATCTTATAGCCATCATGGCAACTAATCGTACTTATCATTCGAGCTTACCAACATTTCTGTTCTTAGTGCTTTTTATGGTGTTAAAGTAATCAAGTGTAAGTGATTCTACCGGCGTCGAAGTTTCATCTGAATGTTTATTGATTCGAACGGCGAACATCAATAATGCTACATGGATAATGAGAAAATAGTTTATCTACGTCCTCGAGAAAATTGCAGCGTTTTTATTATTGTTTCATGTTGTAAATACTTAACTTTTGCCACAAATGATATTTTATGAAGGAACAGTTTTTGTATTCGTATGCCTTTGAAATCTGCGGACGTACTCGATTTTAAGAGGCAACGATTTTTTTTAGCTAAAAATTACTCTTAGTCGTTTCTGATTGCAAATCGTTTAGATAACAGATTTTCAATGGTGACCGCTTAGGATCGTCCCGTTTCGCACAAGTGTCAGTCAGGATTAAATATATCATATGTGTATATTAGAATTAGTATCGCATGGAAAATTCTATTAAGTGATGTAATGATACCTAGTCACTTATAGCTGCCTTTACATTATTGTTTATTTAGAACTGAATTAGCTTGATTAATCATGTCGAGACGGGGGAAGCGAGAATCTACCTTGTGACAATAACTGCCATAGCTGTAACTATATCCTTACTCGCGTTTTCAGCTTTGACGCATCTGCCGTAAGGGCAGAGCTATATCATGGAAGGCAATGGACCTGTATCCATCCGTAGCAAAAAGATAAGCCACGAGGGTCTTCGAGACGGGTATGCTGATATGACCTCCCCTTACTATTATTTAGCATTATGTTAGCTTTTTGATGCCACCAGTTTAGATTCTACTATTAAAAAGCTACAGAATAACTCGTTCCGGCCAACGATTTCCATCTCAAATAAAGCCTGCAATTCTCTTCTGTGAGTTCGCATTAAAACGTTCTCACGAAACGAAAAAAAGCCTGCAAAAAGATTTCACTGCATCGAGATCGTGTTCTGTGAGCGGTTACTGGAGTGGCAACGTGGCGAGTAAAACAAATCATATTAGAATTAGTTAACGTGATGTAACTCACTAAAATGGCAATTGTATCTAATAATAATTGTATATAATAATGATAATAATAATCTAATTTGTTTTATATATACGTATACGTTTATTATCTATATTTCGCTTAGGTCATCTGGGATTGTCAGTCAATACTTCGCTTACGTCAGTACTAATAAATAGGTGACTAAATATTATATTCTAATAGGTGCATGATCTCCATTTTTAATATGTAGACTATTGGGCTTTTCGATATAATGTCAATGGATGAAATAAGATAGCGCCCACACATCACGACATTCTTTTGCTCCTTCCCAATTCTATGTGAATCTCCCTGGAGCAAGATCAAATTAATCAAAATGAGGATGATTATACGTACTTGATGTATTACGTCACTTATAAGTTCGCTGCGTGTTTTTGGTACATCATAAGGGCGGTGTACGTCAATGGGCATTGTCTTTCGAATCGATTCTACGACGACGAACACCGACCAGAACGAAGCTGGGACTCTGTGGACGCATCTGATTTTGCAAAGAAAACGTTCAATCCTATTCGTGTATTCGTTGAAGATCCCGACCTGCAACCCAACCCCGAAAAAGATGTCATTTCACTTTCCATTGGTAAGTAAACGTATACAACAAAAAGCCACAGCTAATAAATTCGTTATAGCCACAAATCCAGTCTTAATTTCGCCGCAAAGTTGGCTTAGCGATCGGCGGATTGGTAATATTGTTCGGTTTCATTGATTCTTAACGAACAGCTTCATCATCGGTTACCTACAATGTTTATGCGTTATTCTGTTACATTCGTTCGACTTGGATTTGTTCAATTTCTGCTAGAGTTGATCAGAAAAAAAAAAAAAGAAAAACGCTAATAAAAAAAAAGTTAGAAAGCTCGTTGGCTACCGAGAGTCACTCCGGTCTGGCTAGCAAGTGATGAGAGACTTGATGTCAGAGTACTTGCTACGATGACCTTTACGTGTACGAAAAGAGCAGTGTTCAGCATCTCAACAGCTGCATTTGACATCCTTAACGTATTATTATAGGGAAGCGCAAAGAGCTGCTAGATGCCTCCCTATGGTTTCGTCTGGTTACAAAGAGATGGGAAAAGCTTCACCAAAAGAGTACGTCGTTGTTCGACTAAGCTCTGTGGTCTCGGCGACTCCGAGATTTCTTCCACTCGTATCGAAATTGACCCTTATCGTTCCCTCAAAGTGCTCTCAGTCACCACATTATTGCTGGACACTAACTGCCACTCTTTAACGTAACGCTTCCCTAAAGGTCCAATGTTAATGTCGTAAAAAAGATGGTTCAGAAATCTGGGCCTGTCTCCTCCAGTAGACAGTCATCAGCCAACTGTTAGTAACGAGTACATTTTTACTCAGTTGTGCAGTCGTCCATGATAAGAAATTGATATTAAGCTCAATAAAGGGGTAAATTTGTGAGAATTGAGAAGGCATCATGGGGGCTGCCCTTTGAATATACACTGATAATATAGTAGGCTAAATGTTTTTCAAATGATAAGTTCTGTAGAGCTGCCCATATCTTTCTCTATGATTAGATGACCGCGTACCTTTACCTTTAAGTTTACCATTTGGCTTATTTTGATGTTTGTGATTATGTTGACAGGTTAAGGTTAGAGCAGTTTGGGACTGTCACGCTGGAGCACTTAAATCCTAAGTGCATATGCTTCTTCAAGTTTTCTTTTAAGCCAGCTTTAGTTTCTTCAAAATGGCTTCACAAATATGTAAATATCGTTTTGTCCTACAAAACTGATAAGGCGATTATTTTTCAGATCCTTAACGAATACTTCAATAGTGATACGGGCCGTTTCTGTTAAACTATTCGCAGACGAAAAAATGTACAAAGATTCAAACCAGAATTATGCAGAGGCTAAACTCTGGCGTCACGTATTTGTATATGCAGTGCATGATATCGCGGATGGAACACTACCACGCTGTCGTTTACATCGAGACTCCCAGCGATGTTTGTTAAGGTAGCACCATCGAAGATATTAGAGAAGCCGAAATATTCTCCGATAATGTCACAATTGCCATCTCTTGCTTTTTGAATATATAGAATAATCGAACTTCATCGTGTCACAATAATAATGAACAACTTCGGGTGTCATCAATAAGTAGAAGCTCTCTTTAAATTCATATGCGATGCAATTTTTCAAAAAATAGTTCCAGTTCGTTTAAGGGCTTTTTGTTTCATGCACTGTTTTGAGAAAGTCGATCTATTGACGGAAGAAAAGGTCGCTTTCTATTATGCTTGTTCTATCAGAGTACTTTACCTTTAGAGTGCAAGAATTATGGAAGAATATTTCTCACTAGGAAATCATTTATTAGAATTCGGGCAAACCTGTTCTAGTTCAGACTGTTGAATGTCTGTCAGGTCCGTAACGCTTTTGCCAAACTTGAAAAACGCCTCATTGTTGTTACAAGTTGCACTCGGTTCAGTATAAGGAGCATATACACCTCTACCAAACCAGTTACCTCTTGCTCTAAGGCCGAAAATTACTAATAGACTAACCGCATCAGGTGACAATCCTTTATTACATCTACTTTCTAACAAATATATTAATGTGTGCTTCGACCATTTCAAATACACTTCGGACGAGTACTATAGATCTACGGAGTTTTTTCGACTAGGGGCAAATAGTTATCAAAAACACTAGCGCTTCTAGCATACATAACAATAAGCATGCGGCTTTAATTATCAGTATCTAGTCATTGTATTTCTGTGTACGAGACTAGAAGCATACAAACACGATATAGATGAGCTCACTATACGATCTAAACACAACCTATTCCTCCTAAAGCCGACTCTGATTCCTGCTGACTACGCGATTGATGGTCGAAATAGTATGGACTACATCATTTGCATGTGTTTATCAAAGGTCGAAAAACTCGAATCAAAATAATGAATTTAAGAAAACCTTTTTAGCCGGAACCTTACCAGTGAAAATCCGGAAAATACAGGTTTTTTTACTTTTTTTCGTTGTCAACATCTGGATTCAAATTTGTTTTTTCAGACTGGCAGGTCGTTTAGCAACAGCCTTTAGCAACAGTTTTTAAATTAAAAAAATACATACAAATAACATATGTATGTTAAGTCCTGTTAATACAACACATAAAGGATTATTCCAGTTCTCAAACTAAACCAGCCTATGGCAATTATTTCATGTCTTCAACTATTTATCGTAACACAGTAACATAACAACAGTGATAACGTAGTACGTTCTACCCAAGATACTTGCTCTGGTTGAGCCTGGCTCAACACAACGACATTTTATAATGGGTTACAAATGTCTTTCTACCTTAACATAATTCACCTAGGTCACACAAGGAAAGCATATTATGATATTTGCCTAGATATGTATTGGATACACAAAACATAATTTAAGAATTTTTTTAACCTACCTTAGGTGATCCGACAATCTTTGGTAATCTAAAGCCATGTCCAGAGATCGTGGACGCAGTGGAACGTGCCTTACGCAGTATGAAATGCCATGGCTATATACCAAGCACAGGTACCTATGCCGCTCGTGCAGCGGTCGCGAAATACAGCGCCGTCAACGGAATCGAAATTGACCCAAGTGTGCGTAAGAAACCCTTACATGCTGACACCTGATATACTGTTCCTTACTGTGAATTGCAAATGGTTTTGAATAATTATCATTAGGTAACAGACGCGAATTTTATCACATAGTTGAATATCAATTTAGGCGCAAAACCCATTTCCATTTCCGGAGCAGGACGTAATTCTGACGTGCGGTGCTTCACATGCTCTCGAGATGTGCGTGATGTGTTTCTGCAATCCCGGTGAGAATGTACTCGTTCCTCGACCAGGTTTTTCGGTATATAAAACGCACGCGAACTCTGTCGGCATTGAGGCGATATTTTATGACCTCGACCCGGCTCATTCGTGGCAAGTTGATTTAAGAAGCCTACGGTAAATAAACTGTTAACTCCGTTGCTTCTTTCCAGTCAGCTACTACTATTATTTAAGCAAGTCAAACTTTACTGAATGGATAGACTAACATAATTTTAGATAGATACTCAGGAGTCAATACGTTTATTAAACAACTACTAGTGATTCCTTATGGGTCACAGAAAGACTTCCTAGAAAATCATGAAAATGTTTTAGCTGTGACGTATCTAACAACAACGCTTATTAAAGCCTGTTCGCCATCCTGTAAAACTTAACTGGTGATATGCAAGTTTAGTAATTCAGTTAAAACAGGACATATTTCGAGATTTCCTGCACGTCTAAAGGCATATTTAAACGATGCCTAAAAGTTATTTGAATTCTATCTAAAAGGTCAAAGTCAACTATAATCGTTGGCCATTGCATTGCTTAATACCATCTCAGGTGCGATTCACAGATGAAGTTACGTTTAAAAAATTACAGCGAATCTTGTCAGACACTGTATACACCTTATATGCTCTCTGTTTGATTATACATATTTCAGAGGCGCAATAAATAATAGGACAAGGGCCATCCTCGTAAATAATCCTTCGAATCCGTGTGGCAGTGTCTATTCAAAGGAACACCTTAAGGATATCCTTGAAATAGCAAAAGAACATCGTTTGCCCATTATCGCGGATGAGATTTACGAACACTTCGTGAGTACTATGATTTAGCCAAAAGAATAACAACTAAATACATTTTACGTTTGTTAACATATAATTGATCATTGTTGCCAGCTCGATCTATTACATGTCTAATTTTATTGCGTTGAATAACATTGTTAAAGGCTTAAATAAGTTAAATACTAGTCTTGGCGAGGAAAATCGTAAAAAGTCTCTTGATTTTTACGCAGTTTAAAGAAAATCACTTGATTTCTAATTTCTATGTAATGACACAAGTTTTTAGCAACGTCTGCTTTGAAGTCTTTGAAGGCGAAATACGGCCTAGAATGATCGAAACAGCTTCTACCACAGTCCGCACTAAATTGTGTTCTTGTAGGTGTTCTCCGGCCGTATTTACCATCCTTTAGCGTCGCTCTCTACGGACGTGCCTATTGTATCTTGTTCGGGACTGACAAAACGGTTTTTGGTGCCTGGCTGGAGAACCGGTTGGATTATCATCCATGATCGAAAGGGTATACTCACACCGATCAAGAAAGGACTCATTGCTCTTAGCCAGAAGATCATGGGAGGTACATGTCAAAACTTAATAAGATTCAAATCAGCATGCTCTTGACTTATTATATGTAGGTTAGTAAAGTAGTACATGCACGCTAGAAGTGTAGTTATTATTTACCCATATCAGCGTTTGCTTAAGCTGGCCAAGATTGTTTAACTAGTGACATAGCTACTGCTCTTAGAAGGCTGTTTGTGACAATTATTTTGATTGTGGCTATTAATTATCCCACAGGTAGCGCACTGATACAGGGGGCCATTACGGATATCCTTACACAAACTCCACAGTCCTTCTACGATGATACCGTAAAAGTTGTAGAGGTAAGGATTAGTAGTTAGCGTGGTTGGTAAACTGGCGTAAAAGGGATGTTTTTACAGAGGTTTCTTAAAACGACGCCGATAGCCAGAAGCATCTGATAATAATAAGATCTGATAAGCGTAAAATAATTTTATTATTTGAACTTACCTTTGCCCTTACGTTTTTAGATTTACCTTTGGTGGCCAACACAATATCAACTACCTACGGTCACTAATGATAAATGCTAGTTCATTTAGATAACTGATTTGGAAAGAGTTTATTTAATGGCCGCGGGGAAATAGCACCTGATATCTAACTGTAGCGTTCTGCGTACCGTTGACAACAACGTCAAGGTAGTAGCCATCTTTTGAACGACCACTGACAAACTGTGATGTTTATTTTTTCTCGAATCACGCATTCGCTCAGATTCAGTATTCTTCTACACCACACTATGTTTTTTAGAACTGATCATTCGTATTCAAGATAAACCTTGCGTTAAGCAACACTTGAATCAGGAGTAAATTGCTTGAAAAGGCCAATTTGATTTTACCTATTGCCACTCCTACTCCTCCAACACAGCTTTTGTGAAACGTCTTTAATCAGCTAGATATTGCAAACGTTCCTATTATAAACTTCAAGCTTTATTGTTTTCTTACTCTTCCTCTTTTGAGTGTTCTTGAGAAACTCGGGTCCTGTCGTATACCTAAACTGTACTCAGTGTGGTTCATACAAAATAGATCATGTTTACACGCCTGGCCCATCGAGCTACCGCTACTGTCAAAGCTATTGATTATGAAGTTACTAATGTGTGATCTTCCGATATTTTAGGATAACGCTACACTGGCATTCAATGCGATTTCGTCGATTCCTGGCCTCAAACCCGTGATGCCTCAAGGGGCCATGTATATGATGGTCAGTATCACAATTTGCAAGTTGTTGACAGCTCGAAGATCACCTTTGAATTTTAGCTACACTCGAGAAACAAGTTATGAACGCTCAGACTATTCAGGCGTACCGATATTGGCCTGATGATATTTCCTGAAATCACATCTAGCAGTCTCAAGACACGCAATACATATAGTACTTGAACGAAAGCTCCTAGCAGATTGACTCTTTATCTTCTGTAAAAGACTTCAGTTTGTTTACTCGCTGAAGTTTCTTATAGAATATTTTTTACGTGTTTACTAGTTATCATAGATTGTAAAAGACTTCAGTTTGTTTACTCGCTGAAGTTTCTTATAGAATATTTTTTTACGTGTTTACTAGTTATCATAGATTACATACAATCTAATAGATCTAGAGAATCGTGCACACTTAAGGTGACTACAAAATCAGGGCGTAACTTCAAAAGAGCAGCTTAGAGTTAGTGATGCGTATAAAGGGTCAAAAGGGTTTTTCTTTTCTTATTTCGCAATCGGCGTTTCAACTATTTCGTACAGATTTTACAACCAGAAAAAGACTCATCGTATTACCAAATAACGCTACAACTGTGTTGATTGTTGTAATAACAGGTTGGTGTCGACTTAGATCGGTTTAAGGAGTTTTCTGATGACGCAGAATTTTGCAAAGAGCTATTTCGACAGGAGTCGGTGTTCTGCATGCCAGGAAAGGCATTTTCCTACCCAAATTATTTCCGGATTGTGCTTACCGTGCCGCAGGATATGATCCTGGACGCCTGCGATCGTGTGTCAGCATTCTGTGAGCGACATGCAAAGTACTTCTGAGCTCTGCTCTTTCTCTGTCTACTCTTAGGTGTTAATTCAATCACGGAAAACAATTTGAGTAGAGGAGAGGTTCAGCGCACTGTGCAACGTTCGAATGATTTAAATTAACTATTAGTATTAACTAAAGTAACCAACATTTATTTAGCTTTCTAAACTAGATTACCTTTAAGGTAGCTGTCTTCAGCCGCGGCCTTACAAAGATAGGCATTACCATGTGTGTTCAGGTAATCTCTGTTATTTGCTCATATCGTTACGGTAGCATAACTAAATGCGAGTTTTAAATAAAGTAGGCTAAATTTCGGAATAATTTTCGGAATCTCGGAAATTTGAAAGGATTAGTTATTATATTGAAGTACACTCTGTTGTTTGCATGCTAAATAGTAGTGAGTATCTTGTGGGGAATTTTTGGAAAGTTCATTTTTATCTCAAGGAGACTGTCAGTGTTACTCTCTTAAAACGTTTGGCCGTACCTTCTTTCGGATCACACCGGTAAATAAATTGTACAGAATTAGTAAAAGGTGTGAATGTTATTCACGCACTGAAGTGGCCTGTGTGTTTATTTAATATAAATGTGCCTCTCATTTTCAAACTTCTTCGCTTGACCTCGCGAACGAAATTTTTTTATACCTATATACTCATGCTTATTTTTTATATATATGTTACATTTTATAAGCGATTTAAAGAGAGCTTTAAAGGTAGTATTATGAGTTAATTTGCGATGCTCAGCTTTAGAAATTGTCCGGCTTTGAAACTTCCTCGTAATTATTGTAGAACAGCTTTGTACATGCAGAAGCATATGTTGTGATGAGCATTTCGGCTCGATGATGTATAAATAACGATGTTAACTGGATGCTATTGATTATGTTAGATGTGCTTGAAAACTTCAATAAACTACAAAATTTTCACAGAGCTACCCCCATATGCTCATCACTACCTAGTCAGTTAGTTTTTTGCAACGTAAACTTCAATTAGGAAAAACGTAAATTCAAAGCTAACACAAGGAAACTACTTGATTGCATAACGTTGCAACTATTTCAGTTTATACTATTTTTCTCTTTACTAGAGTAGAATATCGCTATTTTGACTGAGCTGCAATTTTATGACTTATTATTTTATCTAGAATTTCACTCAAGTTTACACAAAGGCTTAATTGCATAGATAAATTTTTTTTTAAAAAAACATTGCAGCCTTAAACAACTTTTATTGAGTACGTTTCCGATATTTTTGACCGCGTCTTACCGCTTGTTCAGCTCGAAGCCTTAAATAAATCCGATGGCTTTAAATTCACGCATATCTTTAACCGATTTCTACTATACATTCCGCTTAGTAAGCGTTAAATAAGGCAAGAAGGTACACAGAAAATATTGTATAATGACGCTAAATCATGATACTCAAGCAGATCCCAACCTACACGTTTGAGATATCATCCGATTCCTATTTGGCGCCTCCTCGGTACATATATTGTTTTACAATGCTTGTTTGCCTGACAACGACTATTATTGACTCAGGTTTATCGGCGCCTACTAATGAGGTCTTCCAGTTTGCGGCACTGTCACTTTGACAAAGAGTACAGCAAGCGTACTGACACAACTCCGATACCGATGTCAAGAAGTAACCGAGCTTTACTTCACTGAAATAGCGGGTTGGCGGGTTTAGAGTTGCGACTTAACGTATCGTTTGATGACTCGTACGTACCTCGAGTTTAAGCTCGAATTCTTCCATCCAAAAAAACACCATGACGGAGCTGAGAAGCTCAAGCCTTCGTCTGATCGCAAGAGTGCTATACGTGAGCTCCGGTGAAAGTGAAATGCCATTTTTTTAGCATAACATCTACGACCTACTCTCAGCTGTCATTGGTATAGTTAGATCACATTAGTAAAAAATGGCCATTTAATGGACCTTTGTAAATGTAGCAGGACTTAGAACAACGTTCTACCTCATGGTTTCACCTCGGACGGTGTCAATAGAGCACAGTTCCTCCCTGCCCTTGCTGGCTGTCTTAACTCGATGCCCGAAAACTGATACTGGAGTGCCCATTAAAGCAGAAGTTCCTACCCTACCATGTATAGTTATGGGCCAGGTTGATTGGCTGGAGGTATATTTTTGCTTGCGCCCCTCTAACAAGAGTAGAGAATAACAGGAAAAATTCAGCCAGTCGTTGCCCAAAAAGGCTTCAGATGTGCTTTTAAATGCAACAGGTCAAGCAGCGGTAGCTCGATATCAACGAACTTTACAAATGTTTCCCGATCCAGCTTTATCTAGCTCGAAACTTCACCTCGAACTCCATCCCCCTACGGATTTTTCGTCCTTCTAAACCTTACCAGAGGGACGCAGCTTCCACAAACTTCAGTGCCCTATGAAGGTTCTTGCACTCCAAAGTCTAATAGATTTGCTACCGGCTGCAATCGACCCTCAGCTGTATATAGTGTCCTAATCACAAGTCAAAGAAAATAAGGATAATTTACCTTTGTTATCGTATGGCAGTTCGCTGAGCACATCTGCGGACAGTCTAATCGACCATCTTTATGGAGGCTCTCTAATGCAAAAAATTCGAATAGAAAAAAATCCTGGGTTTAGTACCAAGGACTACGCGTTCTTGGCACTCGTAGATCTATGCAGAATTTATTACTAAGTTATACGGATTTTCAGGTTAAAAAATACTTGGCGGTTAATCCGTCACTCCGCCGCGTGAAAATTATTTTCCTGCCCTTGGAGCGCCTCTGTACTTTTCGTTGAACAGACGGACTTGCTACGCAGAAGGCGGTCCACCATGACTGCGTAAGAAGTCGAGCTTCAACCGGTATTTCAAACGTAATCAATCTGGATAACACATAATCATTTAATATACCCAGTAAGCACTACAATTAAACGAATCGGCTTTAGCTTTTCCTTTGGCTACTGCTTTCTATCCCAATCCGCTTCAATATGCAATATTCAGCGGTGGATATATATTGCGTCATCTATTCTAGGATATGGATAAGTTATAAACTTAAATCTATTGTTACTACTTCACGTTTAATGTGTAATCAAATATCCTCGACTCGTTTTCTATCTTTGAGCGTCGATTATTGCGTTAACGAGGATAAATTTAATATAACAATGCGATGTGAAAAGCGATACAATTATGTTTATGTTTATATTTTTAATAGTTGAACATAAAAATTAGTTTTTAATATGTACACCTGTTAGTCTAGTAAACTGGAAGATAGCCTGACCGCTTCTTTATAGCGCGATAATACTGAAATATAACTACGGTACAGGAAAAATGTCTTAATATGAGGTCTGACATCTTTTTAGCAAGTCCTGAACTATTTATCCCTTAGTAGGTTTGATGAATGTGCGCAAAACATTGAGAATGCTTTACACAGTCAGGGGTATGTGGGTCATGCAACGACTGGGTCATGTTGAGTGTTATTATTGTGAACAAGTTTCTCACAGTAAATCTGCTAGCAGCGCCGCAATTATATTGAAGTGCACCGTTCTACGGGCATCAGCAGCTATTTTGACAGAGATTTCGTCAAAATGAGAAAAAAATTAACGGTAATTGCAAGAGATGCAAAAAAACATATTTATAATAACTGTGATGTTGGTGAGGCTATACTGTGTATAAATGTATTTGCTTGTGCAGGTATGGGTGTGCCGGTACAATTTTGTACATCCCTGCCTTAAGAATGACAATGGGATTCTGTTATTGAAAATTAATTTTCGTAGGTAACAACTTTCCATAGATTTTCTATCTCTATATATACCCTGATCTAGCCTTATGACGAAAATGTATCTAATACTGGGCCGAAGCAGTGATTTATATTTTTGACGATTATTGGAAAAACTTCGAAAATAATATGATTATCTATTGCCTTGTTTGCTATTTAGTATCTTTGGTGGGCGGGCATTTGACAGGACGATAATACTAATCATAAGAAATAGGATTGTTCAAGCAAGCTTTAGCGAAAATTATGTGTAGCATTGTCTAACATTTGACTGAATAAAAAGAATCAGACAATTTTATCTGAGATACAGATATCGGCGCAGCATTTTATCGACCTGTAATTCACGACTTGTAAACCTGCTATAACACGTAACTTTGTCTGATTAAACGTAGGGCTATCTTTCGTAGACGTTGAGCCGAAAGTTTCAGAGGCGCAACTCGGTAATCGAGACCAGAAGAACTTCCCATTTATTAGAATAGTGCGTTATTCGCTAGAATACTACGTCAAGTTTATGGGGATTACTTTGTGATTAATATTAAATAGCAGGATTAATTACTTGTACGAATAATTCCAGACGAACTTTGCAGGGTTATCCACATTCTGTCACAGGGTTGCAATATGAGTATCGCAAACAAGTATGAACATTTCAATACATAACCAGCCTTACACTAAGTGCAATTAAGAGATAGTAACAAGATTTTGCATCACTGAGAATTTTAGGCAGAATAACTGATAGGACTCTGAAGTGCATGATACGATGTGCTAGCTAACCTTGAACCCGAGTTGCCATTCATATCTGTGCCTTGTAATTATACTAATTACTTGTGAATAGCGGGAAACGATTCCGGCTGGAGGAAGCCAGAGTTTTCACGAGCCTCGTCTGCTACGTGGTAACGCGCCAATTGATCTCGTTCAATCCAGCGTTTCAAACCCATTATTTCCGAAGAATTTTCTCTGTCTGCGTCTGACTAGTGTAAATATCCTTCTGTCTTGGAGGATTCGGAAAGCAACACCAGTTGGATTAAATTGTTGTTTTGTTCGTAATAGGATGTACCATCATTCATCAGTAAAACTTATTTGCACCGCAATTAATTATATATTTTGGTATGTATTATCGTACACGGATAATTGTGCAGTATCGCATAACTATGTTTTTAGGAAATCTATTACGCGTGAATTTTAAGTACATGCCTAAGTCAAAAAGTGTAAAGATAGACGAGTTGTGGCCCAGTAATTAGATGACTCCTATTCGAGCATACAATGCCGATGAAAATGTTTTATCTATAGCCATAACAACTCGTGTTAAAAGAAATGCTGGGAAAAATAAGTGAATGAGCAGAAGTAATAGAACAAACAGCTACCTGGTAGGCTGACATTCTCGTGCGCAAAAAAATATAGCAAATCCCTTTTATTGTCCTGCTCTACAGGTTCACCATAGCCACTTGAATCACGACTATACCCATCACTATTCTCTATTGATAATTATTCCTTTTGCTATGCATTGCCAAACACTCAGTCAAGTTACCCTGTACGCCCCTCATGGTACCCACGTATTGTTATTATTTTTGGCAATTTGCCACTGCCACCAACGATAGATATGTTTTGGCCAGATATTCAGATGCTACAAGGAGTAAAGGAAGAGAAGGCAGCACGAGCTAACTAGGTACGCCCCGACGATTGACCCTGCTAATGCAGACCTGTCTCCTTTACTAGCTCATACCGCGTCAATGGCCACGATTCTTCTACTTGCAGCTCTAACTGTACACATGCACACGCGCACATATAACTGCTACGTCTAACGGCTGCCAACCAAAACATCGAGCGCACGAGGTAGCAGCACCCAAATCAACGACTGCTACCATTCCAGCACCATCACTACGATTGCAGCTAATATGTGCGCCTGTGTTTCAGCGCGGTAGGCGTCGATCCGTTCGGCGTCTACGCCGGAGCCGGTGGCCGCTATTGTCGGTAACCAACAGAGTTACCACGGTGCAATGAAGGTTTTATTGTCCAGAAATGAATTTGTTTCCGACACAGTGAGCCAAGTCATAGGATCGGCCGTACTCCTCATCAGTTTCTTCGCTGCACAAGTTTTAGCAGCTATCGCGACACCAACAACAACAAGCATGACAGGAACAGCAAATCTGTTATCAAGCTCATTACTTCCTATCTTTTCTCATTTGATTTTGTTC